TAGTGTTGTGTGTGTGTGTGTGTGTGTGTGTGTGTGTGTGTGTGTGTGTGTGTGTGTGTGTGTGTGTGTGTGTGTGTGGCGTGTGCGTGTGTGTACGTGTGTGTACGTGTGTGAATGTGATACACGGGGGATAGTAAATATTTTCACACCTCTATATTGTGATGCTTATAGACACGCGGGAGAGGATCGGTCTCGAGAGCGGCCAGCGTCGTCCTCGGCGGCGCCCCACGTAATTTTATTTATAGGCAAATTTAACTGCGCGAGATTTTTAAATTAACGCAAAGAGATGAAGCGGCGCGACGACGGTCGGTCGTTTCCTTCGTATACGCGCGATGATAATAGATTCTAGCGGCGTGTAAATATTTGGACTGGAACGCGCCCACACCTGCATCCTCGTCGGGGGAGGAGGATACCGGTCGTACTTATCTGGCTGCTCTTTCCGCCCCCGGATTCCGCTTCCTTCCGACTGTGCCTTCCGATCGTCGCGGACGATAGAAGCGGACGGTGCGCTTCTCCGCTTTCGCGAGACGAATTTCGTAACGCGTTTCGGTAAAGTGTGTTGAGTTAACGTAACGTAATCTGCGACGAGAACCTCCCTCCCTCCCTCCCTCCCTCTCTTCGGGAACAACGGCTCTATTGTCTCCTCGAGTACGGGCGCGACGCGTTCACGTATGCACGATGGATATCCTTTTTCCTTATTCCAGAAAAGGAGAACCCGATGGCACACGTAGCGAAGAAGAGACCAAGGTGGTTTCCCAGTTAAGATTCCCGAACGATGTGCCATGGCCTCGTCCTTAGGGGGCCCAGGAATGACATCGGGCGTCCCGTCGTCGCGAATAGTCAACCTGGAATTTCCCCCACCTCCACCTTACCCGCCGCCCCACAATCAGGTAAAACCTCCAAGTGCGGATCATTAATTTCGCTAACGACGCATATTTGTGTGCGGTTAATCGCGCGCGACAGCGCGCTCGAGCCAGCCTGAGGCTCTTTCGAAAACAAACTCGCGAAAAAAAAAA